GGACCCACCAGGCATCCAGAAACGGCGCGAAGGACGTGGTTTAGCCAAACCTGCGGTGGTTGCCTGCATCTCTGACGCACGGAAGCCAAGGTCACGCAGCCTGGCTCCTCCACGCTCCCAAGGCGGCGCCCGCTGCGCTGCCCAGCGCCGCACACCGATCAGCCAGAGGGAAAGGGGGGAATCCTGACCCCGGGGGGGCCGGTTGGTTGGAGCACCGGGGTTTAGCCTGGTGCTGAGACCTGACGTCCTGCCGCAACAGAAGCGTACCCCTGTAACGGGGTGCTTTGGCAGCCCTCTCTTAGGGCGATGGAAGGGGAGCAGCTCCCAACAGCCAGCACCCCGCGAGTTTAGCGGCCTGGGGAAGGCCAGCGGGCGAGCGGTCAGCAGACATTCCTGGCGGCCGCCCGCGGGCAGGAGGTTTGCTCTCCGAGGAGCGGGATGGAGCTCGAGGCCTGGCAGGGCTGGGGGTTTGGGGCTGAGCAGCTGGGGGAGGTGGAGAGCAGAGGGGGCAGAGCTGCAGCCGGACAGCTTGGGAATGTTCCCAGGTGGTCCCTTGGACACCTACCTTGTGCGTGTTCAGCGCCTGGCCCGGGGTGGAAACCTTTGGTTTTGCTGCGTGAAGTAAACTGTCTCTGGACCTGCGTTTCTGTTGATACTGACATCGGATTCTCATCTGGAATCCAGCCGGATAGGCGCAGCCGTACGGACCGCGAGGCTGCCCTGCGCTTCCCATGGCGAGGGTGCTCTGCCCGTGCCTCGGTGTTCTCCGGACTGCAGTAATTAAACTGCAGAAAAGCAGTGCAGCCTGACCTCATTCCGCTGCGCACGTCTGGATGTTGGGCTTGCTCTTGCTGTGCCAGCGGGTCTAATAAGGAGGTCCCCGTTCCTCCCGCCCTGTACCCCATTGTACCACCATGTCCTGGTGTGCCCAGAGCTGCGTGGGCTCTGCTGCGCGCCCACTTCCCCGGGGACAGGCGTAATGGTCCCGTCACTTGCTGGGCTGCAGGGACGCTTGGCATGCGGGGCAGGCGGGGGGCGTCCCTTGGGCCAGAGCTCATGCTTCTGTTTCTGTTTTTCTTTGCAGATTCCCTGGATGCCGCCAAAGCCAGCAAACTGGTGAGTGCTGAGCCCTGCCGGCTGCCGAAACAAATCCCCTTTGCAGCCCGTGCTTAGCGGAGGAGGCAGGCTGGCACGTGCCGCCCGTGGTGCTTCTGCATTAACTTTTACCACCTCTCCAGCAGCTCCGCTTTTCAGCCCCGCAGGAGGAGCCCGTGGGGGGATGCACACGCGCAATGCCTACGGAAGGGATGGGGCTTTGCCAGGCTCTCTCTTATTTAGTTCTTTCCAGTTCCAGGCTCTGGAATAAACACGCCCGTGGCAAAGCGCATTTCTCCTGAAAGCCAGGGGAAATAAGGCCGCATAAAACGCAATTCCCAGCCGATGCCCAAACCCCAGCGAGCTGCTGAGGAATAAAGCCCCCGCAGTTCCCTGCCCTACACGTTTTACCCCCGTGCGGTCAGTTCTGCAGCACTCACGCCCCCCATGCCTCGTGGCTGCCTTCCTGTCGGTAACGCCCCACACCTCCCGCAGGAAGGGTGCGCCCCCCGGGATATTTGAAATTCGCTTTTGCTGGCTTATATGTGTTCCTTATGGAGAGAGGGTGTAGGCTTCGGGGTGTCTTTATCCAGGGATCCCAATGGCTCTCGAGGCGCTATGGGTGCACAGTGTACCCAGAGGGGACGGGTGTTTCCCACGTCACAGACATGCGGAGCGGGTCTGGGGGTCGAAAGCATCTGAAGATCGGTCCGTCCCCGGCGTTGCAGTTCCAGCTCGTTACCAGGGGCAGGGAGACTTTTCCCCAGCTGGGTGCAGAGCCCTGTGCTGGGTCCTGCCCAGCCTGTGTGGTGCCGGGCTCTGGCCACAGCTGGACGTGGGTGACTGACTGGCACTCTGCTGTGCTCCGGGGGGTTAATCGGGCTCGGATGGCCGGGAGGTTGTGCCTTGCCAAGCTGTCTGCCAGAGCAGAGGCTGGAGAAGAAATCCCCCGCCTCATACTCAAGGGATTGGGAGGATTTTGCGGGGATTGCCCGTTTTCTGCTGAGTGGGGCATGATTTAACCCACCAGCCTGCCCGGTCTGATCGGCCTCTTCCACTGCCGGGCCGCTGGCGCTGGTGGCACCTTTCCCCCTCGTGCTCTGCGCCTGTGATGCCGCACGTTTAGTCTCCTGGTTTAATTACACACGGGGATCAACACGCGGGTTGGTGGGTGAAGCCGGAGAGCACGCCTTGCGAAGGAGGTCAGGCTGGACCACCCCCCCGCCGAGCAAAGGCTGCGGAAGGGGGGCCTGAAGCGTTGCAAGAGAAATCTTGAAATGGTCTCAGAGCGTTTGTAATGAAAGATAAACGTGCTATTTATGAGGTGAAGAAATCCTAGCGTCCGCACAATCAGGGTGCTAAGTTAGGCAGGGTTCTCTCAATTCTTTACGCTGCTCGTGTTCTGTGAAGGTGGCGGGAAGGGAGCTGAACCAAAAGGGTTCGTGCCCACACCTCTAAGAAAGCCCACATTCAACATCTCATGGCACCTTCTCTCTGTAAGCATCACGTCTTTTTTTTTTCTGCACAAGGAGTTGAGAATTTGGTGCTGGCCACTGTTGGAAGCAAAGGGTTTGGGAGGGGGAGCTCCGGGCTGGGGGGGCTGCCTTTGACGTCCTGCGCTGCTGTGGGGCGCTCGGTCTGGTTTGCCGCTCCGGGAAACGCTGGCGGGCAGAATTAACGCCCCGCCACCTTCCAGACACCGTCCGTGCTGTGACGGCTCCCCAAGGTAACGGGTGTGATGCCGCTGGGACGGGCGCACGCGCGTTTGTCCTCTGCCTTGTGCGTTAGAGCCAGGCGAACCGGGGCTCTGCTCTTTGCCTGCCTGCGGTACCCAGCTCCTCCGGGCGCTGCTGCAGGGGAATTAGGTGCTGGAAAAGTGCTCCGAGGCGCTGGCCCAACATTTCGGCCCAGACAGGCATCTTTGCTGACCACGCAGCTCGCGGGCTGGCTGCCTGCCGAAGGCAGGGACCGCAGAGCGGGTTGGGGTTAGTCCTGCAGGTTACGTGCTGACACCGTGAGTCCCAGAATCCCAGCATGGCCAGGGTTGGCAGGGCCCTCCGGGGCTCACCCAGTGCCA